TGTATCAGCAGAAGGAATCCACAGCGGCCTTCCAGTACGGCAGGATGAGCTTGTGGCTGTTGAAAGTGTCCGCTTCCGCCTCTGCCAACTCCGTGACAGACACGAACTTCCCAACGTCGCTGTTGAAGCGCAGAATCTCCTGCTGGTCATAGAAGTCCCTGTACAGGTATCGAACCCGCTGCATCCCGTTGAGGAAGAGGCACTCGTCCTCCTGCAAGGGGGAGGAAGAGGTGGAAGGGAAGGAAGGCTGTCAGAAAGGACTCCAGGGCCCATCGTTCCCAGTACAGGAGGAGGAGGGTGCCACGCAGGAAGGGAGGGTGGCTGGAGACCTGTGAGAGACTGGTGGAAGGCACCCCCTGGAGGAGGGACAGGGAACTCAGTCCTAGAGAAAGGCAGACTTGCTGGGAGAGGGTCTGGAGGGGGGGAGGGAAGAAGGAGGGGTACGGGAGGAACCTCCTCTATCCTCCCCGGGTGGGAAAAGGCCAGCAGAAGCTCACCTGGTGTGGCGATCCCATGAAGTCTCTACAGATAATACGTGAGATCTCAAGGGGGAGGGATTGTGGGGGGAGGGCTGGAGGGAAGGTAATATCCATATCCCCCCATTCTCTCTTCCTTTGGGAGGGAATATGGGGAGGGGACTCAATCAGGACATCTAGAGTGACACTCCTGGGATTTCCCAGCCCTTGAACCCCCACCTTAATTTGGTTCCCCCCAATTTCCCCCTAATCTTCAGCCCAACTACCCGCCTTTGGGTGATTCTTGGGGATCACACCTGTTTCCAACCCCCGTCCCCAAAAAGACCTCTGCAGACCCCCGCATCTCAAAGGGAACATTCCAGCCCCCTTGGAGAGCCAATTGAGGGGAGCAACTGGGAGCCCCCAATATCCTCTTCTCTCAGTTCCCCTCTCCCCTCCAGGTCCCCATAGAGCAATGGGGGATTATGGGGGGTTCTTGGCCTCCCCAAATTCAGGGGCTCCCCCAGAAGGGACCAAAGCTCCCCTTTCCCCATCCTTCAAAGCCTCGAATCTGAGATTCCGAAGAAAAAGTGAAGTTTCTGAAGAAGCAAAAACACTTTGGCTCCAATGCCTCTTTTTCCTTCTGTGGCTTCAGGGTTGAAAATGCCTCAGTTTCCCTCTTGCACTTTCGCTTTTCCTTCCCTTCCTCTTTGGAGGAAAAACTGACTCCGACTCTGACTCCGATTCCGACTCTGAGCCGACTCCGACCCAGACAATTGTGGGGGGGGAGAAAGGCTGCAACTCCCCACCTCAGCTACAATTGTGAAAGAGGGTGTCCCTCTCCATCTTCCAGAGGGGATGTTTGGAGGAAAGGAGAGGAGACCACGCAGAGGTCGAGGCTTTTGGAGGCTCTGGAGACCCAGCAGCTTCCTTCCTCCTTCCGGGGGTCCTTTCCAGCCCCCTCCTCCTGCCAACTTCCTCCCCCACCCAGCCCCCTTCTTACCGGGGGTCTCCTTCCCCCCTTCACTTCCAGGGATCCAGACCAGTGCCCCCACCAGCAGCATCAGGGGAAGCCCAACAAAAGCCATGGATGCCGCCCCACAAGCGCCCCCAAAGAGAGGGGAGGAAAATGTGGAGGCTCCCATCCCCACAGGAGGAATTGGGAGTCTGGATGGGAGGGGGAGGCATTTTCCTCTAACTTTGGAAGAGGGAGTGTCCAGAAAGAGCAGGAGGACCAATGGGAATCCTCCCTTGTTCCAGTGTCATAGGTCTCTGGGCAGAGTCTTCCTTGATGGAGTTTGGCGCAGAGAAGAAACTCGAGTCGGTTATTCAGGCCAAAGACGCCTTTTCACTCCTCAAAATAATATTCTGTCTTTTAAGTCATCTTTCCAAGCAAATTGCAGCAATAAATTAAAAGGGATCCTGAAAGATGGAAAAAAGATTCCCAGTTGGGATCAGTTGCAGTTTCCTGTCCGCTCCCAAAAGACCCCCCCCACAGAGCCCCCCCCAAGACCACCTCAAAGGAAGGGTCCCCCCTTCACAAAAGGGAGAATTTGGGGGAGTTAATTTCCGAGGAGCAACTCAGACCCCCCAAATCCCCTTCTCTCCAACCCCTCCCAGATCCTGATTGAGGAATGGGGGATTATGGGGTGGGGGGGGTCCTTGGTCCCCTCTCCAAATTCAAGGGCTCCCCCAAAGGGATCCGAGCTCCTTGTTGCTTGACCTTCAAAGCCTCAAATCTGATATTCAGAAGAAAAAGTGAAGTTTCTGAAGCTGCCAAAATTCTTCTTCTTATATATTTTGGTGGCATTTGTGGATTCCGGTCTGAAAATGCCTCAGTTTCCCTCTTTTGCTTCCTCTTTTAAGGGAAGAAACTTTGAGGGCTCCGAAGTGATTCGGGCCTTGAAGCCTCTCTTGCCCTCGATCCCTTTCCCAAAGTCTCTCCTGGGGGTCCCAGCCCCTTCCTTCCCCCCCCCCCCCCCCAGCATCCCCCGGGCCCCCCCCCCCCCCCCCCCCCCCCGCCCGCCCCCCCCCCCCCCCCGTTCATTTCCAGGGATCCCTGACAGCGCCGTCCCCATCAACAGCTGGACCCCAGCAGAACCCATGTGTGCTGCCCCACCAGCGTCGTCCCCCCAGGAATGGGGAGACCTGGATGTTTCCTGCCCCAGAAGCGGAATTGGTGGGTCTGGACCGGGTGGGAGATGCAGAGTTTGGAGGGTGACGTTTCCTCCTCCCGACTTGTGGGTCGCTTTCCGGAAGTTTCGATCCCAGCTGGGTAGCATCTTCAGTGGAGTGGAGGGGAAAGGGTTAAAAAAAAAGCTTCCTTCGCTCAAAGTCAGGGAGGAGAGTAGCCAGAAGAAGCAGAACCAATCAGAATCCGCCATTATGCAGCATCATCAGTCTCCAGGCAGGGTCTCTGTTGCTTTCACCCATTGCAGGAGACAGTTCCAAGCTGAGACGGAAGCGGAGTTTCAATGATGACAACAATGTCACACCTGCCTTTGGGTTCCACCTTCACCTTGTTTCTTCCTCGTGCTTTGAGCATCTGTGCAAAGGCATCTGAGGTTTCTACATCTCCTGTTTTGTGTCCGAGTTCCCCATTTTTCCTCGAATTTGGTGGATTCCCCTGAGATTTCCCTTTGAATTAGCTTCTAAAACTTCCTATCTCCCTCTCACTTTCAAGCCCAGAATGAGGGGGTCAGGGATTCAGAGGGGGGCTCTTGGGGAAAGACTAGGGGGTGGCAATGAGAACTGAGGAGATCAGACAGATCCCAAGATTACAGCAGAGCCTTGGATGGTATCCCTCGATCCCCTCTTCAGCAAATGCTCCAACTAGCATAATTCTTAGATAGATTAATGGGGGGTGTCTGGGTGAGCCCCCCCAAAGAGGGTCCTTAAAATATCCACTCCAGCTCTGAGTACTTTGCTAACAATGTTTCTGTTGAGGGATTGTTTTTAATAGCACTTAATTCTATAATGCTGAAGAACATTCTTTATTTGTAATTTAAAACAGGGATCTAATCTGATTGCCACCCAGACAAAGGTGTGGGTTGTTGTGGTTTTTCATAATAAACCCATTTGCATCTGGTAACATTAAAGATCTTTTGTGGGATAGCTACAAAAAAGGCAGTGGCTTTACAAAGTGAAAATTGTGACTATTTGTTTGAACAAGAAATGCAAATTCTGGATGAGAAAAAATATTTCAGCTAGAAAATGGACGGAGCATTTTTAAATCAGTGGAAATTGAAAATTTTCATTTTGGCATTTTATTGAAAACATCTTCAACTCGTATAGATTACTTTTAGTAGGTAACAGACTATCAGATGGCATGAATAATTTCTATGGTCCAACCCAAAATTAACTTAATTTTAGACAAAAATGTACTGATAACATTTTGGGGTTCCAATTTGATGAGATGGGAGTTGCTGGAGAGAGATTTTAATTCACTTCTGGATCTACTAGTGAATCGGTAGATTGTTTTTCTTTTTAAAGACTCCCCAGAGACACAACTTTCTCCTGTCCATCCAGGAATTGACAGAGCCCTGGTGCCTAAAGTCCTAGCCTGGTACAAGTCTTTGGCGACTGGCGCCGCTATCCGCACTTTCGGCTCAAGCAGAAGATCCTATACCATTCCATGATCTATTGATACTCCCATAGGATCTCTTTCAGACAAGTGACTATCCAGTCTCTTCTTTAAAATGTCCAGTGATGAAGCAACCACAATGTCTGAAGGAAAGCTGTTCCACTGGTTGTCTTCCCTGTAAGGAAGATTCTCGTTAATTCGAGATTGCTTCTCTCCTTGATCATTTTACATGCATCCTCTGGTGTTTTGGAAAATAAATTGACCCCCCCCCCTTTGTGGTAGCCTCTCAAGTACTGGAATACTGCTATCCTGTCACTCCTAATCCTTTTCTGTAGACAAGCCACCCCCCAAAACCAGCAACCATTCTTCATATGTTTTAGTCTTCAGGCCTTTGATCATCTCAGTTGCTCTTCTTTGCACTTTCTCCAAAGTCTAAACATATTTTTTGTAATGTGATGACCAAAACTGAATGCAGTATTCCAGGTGTGGTCTTACTAAGACTTTATAAAATGGTACTAATACTTCATACATGATTTTGATTCTATGCCACTGTTTATACAATCAAGGATTATAATAGCTTTTTTGGCTGCTGCCACACACACGTGACTCATGTTAAGTGATCATCCATTCGGACTCCCAAGGTCTCTCTTACAATTACTGTTTTTGAGCCAGATTTCTTGTAATCTGTTTTTCCTGCCCAGGTGTAAAATCTTACTTTTCTCCACATTAAGTTTCATTTTGTTGGATTCAACCTTGTCTCATTTGGATCAGAAAGGCACAATATACATACACATACAAATCTAGAGAGACATGGTGGGTCAGTGGTTAGAATGCAGTACTATAGATTAATTGCCCACAGCCAGGAGTTCGATCCTGACCGGCTCGTGGTTGATTCAGCCTTTCGTCTTTCTGAGGTCGATAGATTGCTAGGGATAATATGCTGATGTTGTAAACTACTCAGAGAGTGTGGTAAAGCATTGTGGAGTGGTATATAAGTAAGTGGAATTGCTATTGCTATATAGTTTCTCCTGTGTGTGGATCCTTTTATGCGACATAAGATGACCATTCTGAGCAAAATTCTTTCCACATTCCATGCATTTATAGGGCTTCTCTCCTGTGTGGATCTTTTTGTGTCTTCTAAGTCCATTGTCATGAGTAAACGTCTTTCCACACTCTTTGCATTCATATGGCTTCTCCCCTGTGTGGATCCTTTCATGGGAAATAAGAGTAGCTCTTTGACCAAAGGACTTTCCACATTCCATGCATTTAAATGGTTTCTCTCCTGTGTGGATCATCTTATGGGAAATAAGATTACACCTATGAGCAAAGGTCTTTCCACATTCCATGCATTTAAACGGTTTCTCTCCTGTGTGGATGATCTTATGGGAATTAAGATTACCTTTTTCACCAAAGGTCTTTCCACACTCCATGCATTTATATGGCGTCTCCCCTGTGTGGCCTCTTTTATGGGAAATAAAATTAGATCTATGAGCAAAGGTCTTTCCACATTCTGTGCATTTAAATGGCTTTTCTCCTGTGTGGAGCTTTTTGTGGCTTCTAAGTCCATTATCATGACTAAACGTCTTTCCACACTCCATGCATTTATATGGTTTCTCTCCTGTATGGATCATCTTATGGGAAATAAGAGTAGCTCTTTGAGAAAAGGTCTGTCCACAGTCCATGCATTTAAATGGCTTTTCCCCAGTGTGTATCCTTTCATGGGAAGTAAGTGTACCACTACTAGCAAAGGTCTTTCCACACTCTAAGCATTTATACGGTTTCTCCCCTGTGTGGATCCTTTTATGGATAGTAAGTGTACCGCTACGAGCAAAGGTCTTTCCACACTCTATGCATTTATATGGCTTCTCCCCTGTGTGGATCCTTTTATGGATAGTAAGTTGACTGCTTATTCTAAAACATTTTCCACAGTCCAAACATTTATAAGGCTTCTCAATTGTGTCAATCACTTTTTGAGATGTAAGGAAGTTATTCCCAAGAGAAAGAATGAATGTCCCATTGTAATTTTGTCCGTTGTGTCTTCTTATAGCATCTTCTCCTCTGTTTTGGGTTAAGTAGTGTTCATTTACTTGTACTTCAGCTTTGATTAGCTTCACACTTTTTCCGGTATATTTTTTTCTTATTTTCTCTTCTTGGGCAAGAAAGTCTTGCATCGGAGCATCAGTGGAAGATGAGCTTTCCTGATTCCAATTCTTTGACTGGTTTCTCTCATGGTTTTCGAATTCCATTCGAATTGAAAATTTCTCCGTTCCATCTATAGCACTGATCGCTTGGAACAGTTCACAGGAATCTTGATTCTCCTGCCCATTATTACCTTCAAACAAAAGGGAGTTGAAAATTATAACGAGGTTACGGAAAAAGATCAAAGTGTAGAAAGTCAAGTGAATTTCCTTCTGAATTTCTCCGAAATCCCATTAGGTTGTATGTTTGCATGCCTATAGTGGTGTGATATAGACATGATGGTTTCTATATTCTTGAGTCATGAAAGCTTTGAAAATATCTAGAAAACATTGCTTTCTTTACAATTATCTCTATATATGCAAATCTCACTCAGAATCAGTTTTGAGCTAAGGAATAGAATAGCTTGACCCAGCATTCTCCATGCCAAAAATGGGCCCGTATTTGGCCTCCCAAACCCTCTGCTTGTCCTGTTCTCAACCTCCCTGATGCCGGGGAGGGCAAAAATGGGACCTGCGGAGGCCTCCTGAGACCAAAAGCAGACCTGTTTTTGCCCTGCAGTGTACTACTGGATGCCAAGGAGAGCAATAAAAGAGTGCGCTGAGGGTTTCGGAGGACAAAAACAGGCCCGTATTCACTCTATAAGATGCACAGACATTTCCACCCACTTTTTTTGAGGGGGAAAAGTACATCTTATAGTCTGAAAAATACAGTAAGTCCCTGAGAGATGTGGTGGGGGAACAGGTACGGCAAATGTTGTGGCGCCTCTACTGTCATTTGTAAGTGTGAACGATGGCCTTGCATTGCAACACTCATAATTTCAGGACTGGGTCTCAAGTACTTGGGGGAGGGCTGGTCATAACTTGGAAAGTTCGCTAAGGGAACTGTGGTAACATGAGGGTTACTTGTACCCTAGGATGCTCTGAGTCACACTGCATGTGGCCTTTGTTCTTGAACTGGATTGGGAGAGTGATCTTCCATAGACTGAGCGTGAAAATTCTGTTCTCACACAATTTGGGGAGGTTTCAGAGGAAAAATGAAAACACAATCCTCTCACATGACCTCCAGAGGACACATAAAAGCACACCTCATTCTTTTCAGCCTCCACATATAAGTTCAAATAGAAATGAAAAAATACAAATAAGAAATGGCACAGAAAGCATCTAAGCAAAGAGACATTGATTCTTTCCTTCCTTGGAGCACGACAAGGCCAGATCCTTTCTTGCTCCCTCCCAGGAGACAAAATCTGATTAGAGGTTTTTAAATAAAAAACCTAACTATAATCTGTCTTCTTGAACTTCCTGATTGGGGACTAGAAAACTCTTACCCAGAGAGACCACGTTCCTATGGTTTTCAAGCATGACTTCTGAATGCAGCGCTTTCTGGTCAGGATCCAGCTGAGACCATTCCTCCTCAGAGAAATACACAGCCACCTCCTCGAAGGACACAAAACCCTCCTGGACATGGAAAAAAGAACCGAACAGGAGGATTCACAAGATCTGTTCATCTTCATCATTGATTTAGACAAGAGGATAGAAGGGGAACTCATTAAATTTGCGGACAAGACCAAGTTGACAGGAATACCAATACTCTTAACCTCGAGATACAGAAGGATCAACAGATTGGGCCCCATCTAACAAAATGAAATCAACAGTGAGAAATGTAAGGTTCTACATTTAGGAAAGAAAAACTAAATGCACATGCATAGAATAGGTGATACCTGGCTCAACAGTAGTAAGTGCAGCAAGGATCTTGGAGTCCTAGTGGACAACCACTTAAACCTGAGTCAGCACAATGCTACAGTTGCCCCCCCAAAAAACAAAACAGAATCATAGGCTGCATTAAGAGGGATAGAATCAAGATGACATGAAGTGTTAGTACCACTTCATAAGACGTTGGTAAGACCACACTTGGAATATTGCATCCAGTTTGGTTGCCAACTGTAAAAATGATCTTGAGACTCTAGAAAGAGTGCAGAGAAGAGCAACAAAAATTATTAGCGGACTGGAGGCTAAAACATATAAAGAATGGTGGCTGGAATTGGCTCTGTCTAGTTTCATGAAAAGAAGGACTAGGGGAGACACGATAGCAGAGTTCCAAGAAGCAACAGATGGAAACTATTCAAGGAGAGAACCAACCTACAAGTAAAGAGAAATTTCCTGACAGTGAGAACAATAAATCAGTGGAATTACTTGCCTCCAGAAATTGTGGGTGCTCCAACACTGGAGGTGTTTATGAAGAAATTGGACAGTGATTTATCTGAAATGTTATAGGGCTTCCTGGCTGAGCAGGGGGTTGGACTAGAAGACCACAAGATCCCTAACACCTCTGTTATTCTATTCTATTGTCCCCAAATTCCCAAAGCAGAGATATGCACTAAGTTAAATGGCTGTGGGTCACACAGGTCCTAATTTTAGGTGAGCAAATGGGCAAATCTGAAAACTGATTTCACTAGAGACATATTTGGGGAAGTTTTGTCTAGTTCATTGATTCTGCAAAACCTTCAGTGCCTTTCAGCAAAGTAATCCCACTTCTGGATCAAATGATCTATCGCTCTGTCTATCATTGATTGATCTAGTAGTCTGAGCCATTGGCTGAAAGGAAGGAGAAAATTCACTAGGAAAGTCATTTCTCAGCTGTTGCAAAGCGAGAATGTTTGATCTCCTAATTGAGGCACAAATCAGAGGATTGGAAGTTATTTTGTAGCCCAAAGTACCATGATTACATGCTCAACACGGCCACTCCCTTTGGATTTTAATAGTCTGGTTTATTTTTTAATACGATTTGTTTAATTTTGAACTAAAGGTGATAAATAAGGCTTTTTAAAAATGGTAATGTGGCAATGTGAGTATTTATTTATTGTTTATTAGCCTTGCACAATTGCGAGTCAAAGAATTACAAAAAACGGGGTCTCTAGCTGTTCCTGCCACTGTGATACGTTTATTCCTATTTCTTGAAGGACTTTTTAAAAATTGCTTCTTGTAAACTCAAAGTTAGAGGAGAATCTAGCAGAACAAGATAACCAGAGGAAACTATGCTGGCCGACAGCAACTTGAACCTGCTATTCTGCTCTCCATGTTGTGGAAGAACACAAAAATAATCCAGGCCAAACAAGGGTGGGAATAGAAGGAGGGATCACTCTGCACACCCACTTCACTTCCTGAAAGGATAATACAAATCTAATCTCTTTTCCCTTTCTTACTTGTTTTGGAGGTTCAACCACTGTTTGATCTCCGTCAAAAAAACCAGAAAGCTTCATTCTTTGTTTCTCTGTAAGGAATAAATAATTTCAAAATGTATAATTAACAAAATAGGAGGAGGTGTTCTATAGGAGAGTAGAGAGAGGGAAGGTAAGACTGATGGGGAATTGGAGGATCTTCCATTACCTACTGAGGTGTTCTGACTTTGGTCTTCCCAAGGGATCCTCCTGAAAAATAGCTCCTGAGGGGGATTTGATGGGTTCTTCTTTCCCTCAGGATCTCTGATCTCCATAGTACAGCACTTCAAATAGGAGGAAGGAAGGAAGAAGCAGAATTAATGTACGTCACAAGACATAAAGTGGATTCTTATATTCGGAACACAATCTCAAAGCCCCCAATATCCATCCATGTGGCTGAGTGAGAAAACGATGGAACAATATCCTACCAGAACTGGAGAATTGCCTCATATTATGAACATGGGGAAGTTTGGGAAGGAGGGGTGAAGCATTCAAACACTCTCTCTATTTATTCCCTTCCGAGCTCCCTAAGTCTCCCACCTGCCACTGGAGCTGCTCCTTCTGCTCCTCCACCTGGCTCAGGAGGAAGCCTTCCGCCAGGGCCACCGCCTGGGAACTGGTCTCTGCTCCACATTCCCGCACCCAGCCCTCCATCTCTGGGGGCAGGAGAGCCAGGAGCCACTCCAGAACCACCAGGTCCAGAATCTGGGCTTTGCTGTGTTTTCCTGGGTTCAGCCATCGCCTGCACAAGTCATGGAGTCGGCTGCAAAGTCCTCGGGGACCATCAGCCTCATCCCGGCATCGGATGGAGGTCCACGGCGGAACTTCTGAAGGGAGGATAGTTCCCTCCTGCAGGACCTTCTGCCCAGTTCTGGTCCAGCTCTCCCCACAGCTCCCAGGCTGAAGAGCCGCGGGGCCTTTTCCACTCCCCTCCTTGGCCAAAGGGGGCGTCTCCATCGGTCCTCTCTCTGGCAGAGTAGCTCCAAAGGGCTCCAAGGACTCTGGGGGTCTCCAGGGGCCTCTTCCTTCACAAGATAATTTCTGGAGAGCAAGTGCGGCATCCTAGAGAGGCAAGGCTCCGTGATGTCATTTCCTCTGGGAAGGCAGCCGTGATGTTTGCTCTCCAGTGGTCCAGTGGGGAAACGCATGGAGTTCCCCTTGGCGGAGGGCGTCCTCTGGTGGATTTGGGGCAAAGAGCCAGGATGGTAGAAAGGGGGGCAAAGAGGAGCGCATGGGAAGGTGAAGGGAGAGCGGAGGGATGGTGGGTTTGGGAGTAGGGGGGAAGGCACCTCTCCATGGCTCCCCTTCAGACAAAGGCTTCCACATATGTGCTTCTTTCCCCCCTTTTATATGAACCCAAATGCCTTATAGGAGGTTTTTGTCTTTCTTCTGTGGCATTTCTACAGCAGTTTGGTTATTTCTTATCTATAAAGTGCAACTCAACCTCCGCCTCTTTCATTAGGTCCCTTCTATATTTATTTATTTAGAGGAGAGAAGAGAGGAGGAGAGAGAAATCTTTGTGGAAATCCCT